TCTTAGAAGGTCTTATGATACAAGATCAGGGCCACTGTGTGGCTAAGGACTTTTATGGAGGTTTTAAAATCGAGCCCCTTTTCCTTCTTCTAATTTTCTGTGATTTGAGACTCAAATCAAATTCTTGCTTCAAAAATATTAGCCTGGCTGGGTGCAGTGACGCATGCCTGCAGGTTTTCCGTCCCCAGCCACATGGGAGGCTGAGGCAGGAAGATCCCAGATTCGAGGCCAGCCTCAGCAACTTAACAAGACCCTCCAAAGGGCTGAGGATGTAGCTCAGTGCTCAAGCATCCCTGGGTTCAATCCCCATAACAACAACCAAAAAAAGTGGCAGTGCTTGGTATTGCTCTCTCTCAAACCCCAAGCATTTGCTGAAGCTGGAGACATGGAGGGCAGGAACCCTGTTTGTAATACACCCCCTTCTTCTGTCCCCCAGGGGACTGCAGGGACAGCCTCCTCATTGGCCTGCCTGTTCCACTGCTTTCCCAGGTCAGCTCCCTGCCCAGGAGCCGGACCAACATTCTGGGAGTATGTTGGCCACTGTAGATCATGAGTGGGTCCCCATCTCCCAAGCCAAAAGCCAAGTGCAGACTCCCTGCCATAGTCTGGAGGAACCTGCATTACCTGGCCTCCGAGTTCATCTTAGACCACCCCATTGCCCTGCTGGGCAGGGCCCGGCCTTTCTACCCTGGGGACTTAGAAGCTGCTGGGACTGTTGGTCAAACATTCCTCCACAGGTTCCTGTACCTTGTATCTGAAGGACATTGCAGTGTGCAGTTTTCAATACAGGAGGGCCATTTGGCTAATGTCCACCCGTACACATACAGTCATGGGCATCAGCTACACGTTCAGGTATACAGGTGTACCAGATGCTTCTCTCCATCATGTTTTTAGTATACACAGGGTCCCTTTAAGAAGCTTGAAAGGAATTGGGGTGGGGTGCAAGCCTGTGATCCAAGTGGCTCGGAAGGCTGAGGCAGGAGGATCATGAGTTCAAAGCCAGCCTCAGCAAAAGTGATGCTGTAAGCAACTCAGGGAGATCCTGTCTCTAAATAAAATAT